GGGGGGGGGGGGGAGAACAAAAAACATAAAGGAGATGATACGGAATGGACGAAAAATGGCGGGTAGGGGTGGATGACCGTAGACTTCAGTATGAAAATATTCTTTGATCCTTCAGGATGCAAATCTGCGTGGGAATATCGCGGGCCTCCTATGGAGAAGATGGGAGCATCCGGACGACACATAAAGCAGTTACGCAAGCGTTCAATTTGGCGATGGCAGACAGGCGCCGTTTCATACCCGGCTTTTACTATGTACTATAGTCACATGATCCAGCTCAAGTCTGGGCCACTGTGAAGTCATATGAATGACCATGTACAGTATACAAATTGTACAGGCAAATTGTATTAATCTCATCAAAATTTCTTATACTTACATTCAAATCAATGCAATCCTTTATAAAATTAATGATCTACACTATAATCAGTAATGCACTTGTCATATTATATACTTGTCCAAGCTTTATTTACCCAATTTTGTGGTATCTCATTATATCAATGTAAAGGCTTTAGAATTACAATATATTGTGTAGCAGAGCTGCTATTAGCAATGCTTATGGCAGGTGCGGTGATAGTAGTTCTCTACTTATATGTACAGTACTGGATCTATGACGTATGGATCCTGATCTTGACCTTAGCCCGAAAGACGAAAGAGCGTAATCGTATGTCGAACGTTACCGTCAATTCCACAAGTTGTAGCCAGCATTGATAGTAGTAGTGGGACTGGTAATGGTACTAGTGTAAAACAGGAACATTGAGTCTAGGTGGTGCATTGATTTTGGCAAATTTTCAAAAGACACACTATAGACCCAGACCATTCCTCTTACCTCTATCTGCTCTTCCTCCTTGAAGAAGCCTAAAGTGGCGGACAGTTAGGACGAGACCGACGCGAGGAATGAGGTGCGGGGAGGCTGGATTTAATTTAATCCCGAAGGACGAACGCGGCCGCGTTGCCGGAATGCTTTCCCGAGTGAGAAATTCGCGAGGAAAACACACACCGAAGTTTCCCGAGCAATTTTCCTGAAATTGGCGAAGGGACTAGTAGTACCCAAACACTATGGGTTTCGATAATAGACGTTTAAAATCGGAGAAATCATCATACATATATATATATATATATATATATATATATATATATATATATATATAAATGAAGAGAGAGAGAGAGAGAGAGAGAGAGAGAGAGAGGTAGGATTTTCTAGCAAAATCGGCTTTCATACTTTTAATTTATCATCTTTAAATCCGGAACGAAAAATATCGCAAAATTTTTATCCCAGATATACTCATATATCATATATCGTGTAAATACATATGTATACACACGGTTAACGCATACCTACGTGATTGCGTTATTTACGAATTTGGTAGAGACGATATTGGTCGTATTCATGATGGTTATGGTGATGGGTGGCCGATTGTTGTTGTGAGAAAATTTTACTAGAGGCCACTACTGCGTATTAAATCATTACGGAACCGTGCCATCGGAACGGCTATTAATTTTCATTAGGCGCTGACAAAATTCGCCCCAATTCCAAGGGGGGTTGGTGCAGAGCCCCCCTCTCCCCTCCGAACAACGAACCAACCGACGTGCCAACCCTCCAAAACCAAAAGTCCCCGTCAACCGTGATGTCGCGTTAAGGGGGTGGTTGCTATCTGGCTTATATACGTGCATTTACAGGTCGGAAGGGGTGGGTTGGCAGATGGTGGTTCCTACCGGATGGGGAATGCTTTTGCCACGCTACCGAACCTTGTTCTCTTGTTAACGCGTTCCCGATAATTTGTAGTCCGGTCCCAGAGGTGCTCGCAGCTACGCGATGATTAACTTAACTAACTTTAACAGTTGAGCCATTCGCTTCAACGTACGTATATAACACTGCACCAATATTATTATTATACTGTGACACTATCAATTATATATTTTATTTTCAACTCTGTAATTGCCCATTGCACTCTTCAGATTCAATTTTTGAAGCCGTACAGTGTACTCTCAACGTACGACACAAGTTTCGGGTAAAGAAAAGTCAACAGGAAGGCATTATTACCTAAAATTCGGATAATGAGGATTTCGTGATGGATAATTGATAAAGACTTCTTTTTTTTTTTCTAAAGAAAAATAATCGTTTTATTCAGAATGTTTCTTAAATAACATGACACTCCCATTGGTCGAGGATTTCGCAATGGGAGCCTCATGACCAAGGGACGTATTTACAGAGCACGTAACTGTCAACAATGTATTTATAAATAAATATTATTTGCGACAATGAAATTGATTTAATATATATGTATATATAATACGAACTTAAGTATATATATACCATTGGTGGTATACCGTACATACGTATATCATACACGACACGTACGTATGCATGGTTCTCTCTAGGAAGTTGCCTAATGAAATAATACTAGAAAATTCTCTTTCCAAGGGTTCTCCTTCTGTTGGCTTAAGTAACTCCTTATCATTAATCAGAATAGCCTTGGAGCCAATGAGAAATTAATCATGCATCGTTGGTAAAAAATATATATGTAAATGTATCGACAGACAAAACTCATTAAAAATTTACACTAATAACACTTATACGCTCACCGGGTACAGACAGAAGTTCTGCCATTTGCATGCATACTGTTTCACACACGGACTCATCCACACGTTAATTATAACGCAATACGGACACATTCATTCCAACACCTTTTTATCTCATTTATTCATGACTTATGGAACATATGACAATGAATCAGCGACGTATCAAGGGCATCTCTACGTACCGCATCACGGGAATAATGATAAAATGGAAGCGTAAGAACCAAAATAAAAAAACGAAAGGTAATTCGCATTCACTTTGCGCGGTATGTGCCGTACATGTATAATATACCTGTACGGACACCCTTCGAAAACTCTTGTAACAAAAAAAAGAGTCACCCATTCGCATCTTCCTACGACACATAATGTACACAGTACAAAATAATAATCTGACGCGATGAGAAAATCACGCGCGAGACTGGACATACTTTCTCTACGGTTTGTCTGGTTGTTCACTTAACATTTTCTAGCCGTTAATTAACATTAAATACAAGCAGGAATATATTTGTTTAACGTTGCTTAGCGCGTATAAGCGTGCGCCTACTTTTGTGACGTACGAGGGGTTATGCTACGCAGACCCGTGGATACGCAGTAAACGTGAGAACGAGACGCGTGCGATATCCCCATTTACTAGAGGAAAGGACATAGAAAGGCCGGATATTGATGGTGAAGGAAGAGAATGAGAAATAGAAGATAGCTCAGCTAAGTAAAGATCTTTTTCTTTTTCCTATTTCCGGATCACCTTGTGCCTCCCCCACCCCGCTTCCTCTTTACCAGAAACATCGTCAAAAATGAGATTCAAAGTTTTTCCTCGCAATTCGTGTATCTACGCTATACTTAGAAATCGCGATCTTCTTTTCTTCCTCTCTATTTTTACTCGTAGCGTACATAACCGCGTACACGCGCGGGCACTGTTTATAATTCTTATGCTCTCCGTTCAACTTTGGTACAGTCCAAACGCAAAAACTTCAATAATCGCACGTACACGCGTGCACGGCTATATACTATATATATATATATATACTATATACAAGTGCATGGATGTACAGCCTGCGCAGTCCGTATAAGGCTTAATGATATAGGTAGTTTAATTGGTAGGATCGTAATAATCTCCTTTCCTTCCTTCCTTCCTTCTCACGCGCGTTACACTCCTACACCCTATATTCGAAGCTCCCGCGTTAAAATCCTATACGCTGAAGCTCTGAATTGGCTAGCATTGAATTTGACATAGAACAACACTAGTAACTACTGAAAAGAAATTGACTGTGAGAAAAGCCCTGAGTGAGCTTCTCCCAACTCGGCAAGCGTAGGATTGGCGCTTATAATCAGTCCCATCGCGCAGCTTGCGCGTATTCCTTCTCGGCCCATCGGTTATTCACTATGTCACACTCTGCCCTCTGCATTCGCCCAGGCCTGTCCACGTGCTCGAATCCCTCGTGGTCCTCCCGTGACATCCCGTCGCAGAGACTCTGGCACCAGCTGCTTAAGATGCTTCGACGATCGATCGACCAAATACTTTCGGTGTAACCGTAAACAAGTATTTCCGTTGCTTCTGTATTTTCATCGCAGGACCCAGCCTCCTCGTGTTCCCTTATCTGTTTATTCTTATGCGTTATGTGACGGCGTTAGGCAGTGGATCGATTTACGTGAAGTATCGTCCAAGGAGCAAGAGCGTTACAGGAAATGTCAGGTATCCGGAGAGTGCCGTGCTTCCACTTTGGCCGACGCACTGGCCATTGCCGTAAGGTTGACAGTGCAGCTATTTTGATTGAAGGGAGACAAAAAAATCAAGATAAGCCAAAGGTATATTATGCTTCGCGATGCGTACAGCGTAAGCGAGCTACTGTAAAAGAGCTATGGTGTGTAAGCAATAATTTTCTTACCTTTAACAAGGAGGTGGACATTCTCTTCAGAAATTTTTTCGTGTACTCCGCCGTTTCCTCGCCACAGTGACCACGCACAGCGTGCTGGGAGCATTCGAGGAATTCTTTGAAAGCGCTGCAACACAAGAGCGAACGGAAAAATGGCAGATGAAAATGTGAAAATCTTTTGGCGTAAACAAGACGTACACGGTGGACGGGACAAAAGCGTTTGAGTGTCGCGACAAATACTTGCGAAACGAATCGTAAATACGTGTATGAATTTGGTAAGGGTGCGTAGGCGCGTTAATTTCTTTTACTTCTGTTTGCTTCTTTGTCGAACGAGTACCCGACGATTTATTCACTTTTATCGGAAAATGTCGCCAACCAAACGACCACGTGCCCTGTGGTACGCCGTGCGCACCAGCCAGCACGTAACGTCATTAGCGTATCGGCGACACGCTCTACTGCAGCTTTTCAAAGAGATTCCAACTCTCTTCGTATTCGGGATATGTGTGTGAGAGAGAGGGAGGGGAGGGGAGGGGGGAGAGATAAAGGTAGACAAAAATTTTTAAAAAATTAAATAAAATAAAATTGACCACGATAATACACGCAGTGTTGAGATATTTCATATCAAAGTCAAATTTTACATCTGTATATAAAGTTGCATCGATATATGTACTAATTATTTTCCCTTTATAATTGCAATGCATTATCATTATCAATTTAGTGAATTGCCGATCGTGCTACCTTCTTATTATTGTGTAAGCACTTGATTCACGACTTGTCGATATTTTCGCGGTAGCCGTAGATTGTCGTTTTGAAATTACCAAAAAAAAACAAACAAAAAACATAAGTCCCATCGAATTGACTGTGGAATTGAATGCAGATCGGACGGAGGCAAAATGGGAATTTCATGCAAGCACGTTTACTCGATGCGGCTGCACTCTATTGTGTTGCAGTCTCTGCATTCGTTAGCTATGCTAACGAAGGCGAATGCACTTGACGCACGTAAATGGGGTGTCAAGGACGCCACACAAGGGGCACACATTTACGGCAGACACGCGTTCGTTTGGCCTCGCGGATAGTTGCTGCTTATTATTTTAATTTTAAGCTTCGCGAAGAATCCATGAGAATGAAAGAAATTACGAGGAAGACAAAAATAAGATCATTCGCTTACCAGCAAATTGACTTGATCGGTCCACCAGGAATCCTTCCGTTTGCATACTTGATCATGCCTAACGTGTCATGATATTTCTTGGAGCACGAGTCGTACTCCTTGACGGTTTGCATGCACTGCGCGTGTTTGAGAAATTCTGAAAATGAAAAAAAAATAAATTAAATTAATTAAATTAACGGACGCATGCTCTTCCTTTCGTTTCCCATCCGATTTGCTCGTGACGCGAGGCTGATGCTTTATGGAGAATTTGTATTCATTCCTATGTATTTATGCGTACCCGTGTCAATTAAACTTGACTGATACTAAATGAGAATTGAACTCGTAGCCGCGCAATTGGAATTCGATTCAGCGGGGGGGGATTTAGAAATTGACTTTTTCTTATTATACATATATTAATTATTTATTCTGCACTTTATCAGGATAATCAATCCCCGTTGTCCCTTTAATTCGAGACGATCGATATGACAGTAAAAGGAATTGAATATTTACAAAAAAAAAATTGTTTCAACATTGTTCACGAGGACTTTCTACTTTTTTTTTTAATTTTTGTCTTTTCAATAAATCAATATAATATCCTTACCATCCTGGGCTGATCCTTCCCGACACAGTTCAGAAATAGCCTCGTTAATTTCCCTGTACATCATATTGAACTGATCACTTTGCTGTTCATTCAGGCACCTGTTAGTATATCTCTCGATACACTGTGTACTATTCTTGAGACGACTGAAACAGAAAACAATATGGAGAATTGAAATTACGAATTTATCCATATTGACATGGTGTATACAACAAAAAATTGATATTGCGCACGACAATTATTCGAGATTCTTTTAAATTATCATTTTTTTCCCCCTTCCTACCGTCAACTTGACATTACATCGGACAAAAGCGCAAATTCTGTTCCCCGGAAGTGGAGCGGATGAGGGACAGGAAGTGGAGGGTAGAGGACGTGGAAGTGGTAGCGACTGTTAGTAACCTCGTGAATACATCAGCCGCTTATTTATTCTTCCGCGTTTAATATTTTTATTTTAACAACCCCTCGAAGCAAGTAAAATTTAAAGCGTAGTTGAATCACTGCGAAAGGTACGGCAGAATGACGCAAGCGCGTGTAACGAACTAGGAGAAGTCGTAAGAGATATATTTCGCAGTGAGAAAACTCTTGGAAAATTGATTGGGACGCAGTGGATATGTTGAACGGCCGTGCTGGTAGTTTGGCTTGAGCTGAAGAATGAGCTGCTTTGGACGGTTAAAGTCTGGAAGAGGGTCTGGATGTTATCGAGTAAAAGGTTGGTAAGGAAACGCGACCTCGCCGGCGGCGATTGCCGGTAAGCGTGATGCGAGTGCGTGAGAGCGAATAAAAAGGTACGAAACTCAGAATTTGCTCCTCGCACTGGCACAACCGGCTTCCTGGCATTGTCGTTTTGGGACGTCACATTTAAATTTCAGATTTCAATTTCGTTGCTCCCGATACAATAGTACGGAAGAACGGCGAACCCGTGAAGAGGCACGAGGAGATAAGAAAGTAGACACGGAAGATGGAGAGGATATAAAAATAACGTAGAGCGGAAGGAGACAAGAGCGGTCAAGACAATAAAAGTGGGTGACTGGAAGAAGGTCGAGGGTGGCAATCACGGTAATAAATTTTTACTCGGGATACTATTAACGTACTTAATACCTGGATATATCCTCTTTGGAATTTAACTTCTTAGAGTTTCAAGTACCCCTGTTACAATATTTCCACCCTCCGTACTAAATATATCACCCCTTACATTGGCACTCTTGGCCCATAACCATCCTGTAACCTACTTCAAAACTCACCCTAGACAGGTATGTTTATGACTGTGTAACATTCCATTTCCGGATCGAATTCGAAAAGTCCTACTTAAGGGTGCAGAGTTTACTTAACGAAAGAGGGGCAGTAGCTCGATTGTTAGGGTATTTTGTGTTTCCATCCAATCTGTCCGATTGACCATCTACAGGCGAGAGGCGGTACTCGAGTCTCGAAGTTAACCCGAAGAGACTGTACATTGCACCGTCTACGTTATACATACAAGACGTGATAAGAGTCGGTATTAACTTTGCGCATCCCTTATTTTCTGCAGGAATCCATTTAATCATTTTCATTATCCCTTTCTTTGCTTAAAATTGTATTCTTTTATTTCGTCTCGTTGAACCTCCACCCATCTGTACGTGTTGTACCTGCACGGTGTATATAGACACCAAGCTCATAAAGCGAATCGATACGCGCGAATACCGAATGATATATAAAGAAAATTGATTGAAAGGAGAGTAAGCGTGTGAGTGGATAAAAAAGTAACGAGAGCATATACGGATTCATAGCATCCTATACGTGTATCAAGAGCAGCTTGCATGGCCTCAACAGCTTTTTCAAGCTTAAAACTTCACGTCGTTCAATCAGCCGTGTCTCATAATTCAGAAATCCATCAGTAGTCTTGCATATTCGTTGTATCTCGAAGCTCTGACGTGGATATAGTCAATTAGGACGAGGGAAAAAAGCGCGAGAGAGACAGAGAGAAAACGAAAAAAAAAAAGATTACAGGGTCGACCCCTATATTAAATACAGAGTAAACAGCCGTCATGATAAAAATATTAACGGTTATAACTGATAGCGTCAATGATAGACATTAAACTGTGCATTTGAGTATAGCTATACATATGGTAACTAAAAGAGATTCGTAAGTATAGATTATCAGAAGAACGTATAAGAAAACATAAAGAAAATATAGGCTTCGCCCTAAGGAACTTCGTGAGAAGTCGGAAAGCTCGTCGTCAGACTTGAAAACTTTTCCCCGATTGGACTTGAGCCCTGCAAACGAGTGCTTCGCGGATAATAAGATGATGAATAAAGTTGTAAGAGGTAGCTGGCCGTCGCGACGACTACTAACCCCCAACCATTTCCCTTTACTGTAGCCGTTCGTTCGACATGAAACCACCCTACTGAAATTAGCAGATTTCTTGGCCAGACTCTTTAAAACAACTATCACCATTCCTCTGACTATAAAAGGTTCCTTTTCACGACTCGCATTGAGAATCAACTCGAATCCGATTTATACCGTCCTGAGTGCGGACTTCCATCATCCTGGCCAAAGTTATCGTTGCGTATTAACGATCTTTCTAGGTGGATAAATTGGAGGGCTCCGAGGGAGTGCCAACCTAGGAAATCTGAATCCTCAGCGATGAAATACTCCTGAGTCGTGCCACGCTTACGCCATTAGATAAGATTGCGATAGCTGTGGAATTCATTTGGATAATAACCAAAGAGCCGTATTATTTCGTGAATTGGTATACCCTAATCTACTGGTACGATCTTCGCTTCCATACACAGTGCCATACTTGAAGATTGTATGTACAAGCTCTTGCTTGTTAATAGTCCCCTTGTCAATTTTTAGGTTAAGTTAATGTACAGTACATGGGGCTATTCAGGACTGTTGTTTTGTATTAATTTCCCAAAGTAGAACAATCTTTAGCTGGTTCGTTAGTCCTGAATACCCGTGTACAGTATATATAGAATAATTGTAAAAAATTATTGTGAAAAATATTTTAGCCAGTTTTTGTTTTCAATATACTTACGGGCACAGTTCCTCAAGTTCCCCCTTGTTTGATGCGAAACCAAGCTGATTTTTATTGATCTTGTCCAAGGGACGGGCACATCTCGTCAGCTGTTCCTCGCCGCACTCTTCAGCCCGGCAACTCGCAAGAACTGAAAGTTATCCAAAAACAGGGAAAATTATTAGCTTAGTGAAGCAGATTATTAAATCCTGTCTATAACTATCGATCTAAATAAGGTGTACTATTAAATAACTATAGGAGCTTTCCCTTAATTCACCGTTCACTCCGAAAGTTACATTTAATTTCCTGATAATGATGCCAAAGTATATATAGTATGCAAACTATATTGAAATCAATTCTCACCGTCTTTCGCGTAAACCAATCTCCCTTAGAAAGCGTCCACATCGCTTCCGTCTAATCATATCAAGCAACCCCCATCGAGCGACCCCTACTGCTGTTCGTCCACCTGATATTCCTTTGTTAACCCAGGAAATTATATTTCACAACTGTTTCATTTCGCATTTACTTTATTACTTTCGCTTTGCGTACCCATTACGATTCATTGGGTATTGTTTGTGCGTTTCTTTATCTCCCCTTTTTCCTTGTTCCCTTTTTTCACAATTTTGACTTGGCAGTGCTCCAAAAATTTCGCATTAAAAAATCGCAATGGAAATATTTCCTAATTCTGGTCATAGTCGGTTCTCCCTCCCATCCCCTCTCACACTCTTTCTCGTAAAGGGTTGAAATTTCGTTCCTAAAAGGAAAACATCACTGACTGGCTAGCTACCTTGGATGACTAACATACACGTGTATATATGTATTATATATATATATAGTCTGACATGATGTTTGTTACAGACATGTACCACTGATACTATTACGTTTTCCCGGTGTCTGGGTACCACATGACCAGCATCACTACATAATACTTGATCCACTTGAGCCAAGAACTTCCCTTTTTTCCGGATTTATCAGGATTACACCCTCGCCTCCATCTCTCGACATGTCTCTCCCTCTCTCCGTTAGTGGACAAAGTAATAAAACAGAGCGAAAAAGAATGCAGTAACAAACATATGTATACCTACAGTGAAAGCGGACAAAGACAGAAACAATGACGTAAAACGCGCCCTTTATAAGATTCTCAGCTTCCAAAGTGAAAAATTCGCGATTACCTACATTAGCCATGTAACTCGAATTAGCGGTGACGTCGCTATAGAATGTTCAGCTTATATACAAAACAAACCTGAAATAAAAAAGGGCGAGAAAAATATAAGAGGGAGAAGGGCGATTTCACCCTCTCGAACGAATGAGTCTCGCAAAATTCCTAGAGAGAAGCTTAATGACTGCTGACTGGCTTGCGCGAGGGAACAACGAAAAAAAAAAAGCATACATCGACGAGAAACGGGAGCTAGCAAGGGTAGGGATTGCCAAGGGAAAGAAAAGAGAAAAAAGTAGACGGCTAGTGGCGAAAGGGATATAGGCCACGCGCGCGCAGGCTAAACAAAAGCCATTAAATCCGAATCAACTTCTTAATTTGAACGAATGGTTTTTTGCCAGGGTATTCATCGCCTACGTAGTCGAGAACGGAAACTCACTGGGGGGGAGGGGGGGGGTCGTACAACCACCCCACGGTGCCAACAAACAGTTCAACCCCTACGGGAGTTATATCTATTATAAAGACTGCTAGTGGCTACTATAACCGCTATACTAGAAGGCCATCCCCGGGGGGTAGCGCGGTATTATTTAATGGCCGTACAACCCTATACGTAATATCATATTCATCTATCATCATTAAGGTGGCCTAGGTAAATGCGCTTTCTATGTTTTTATACCAGCGACAAGAGTGCGAGGATTCTGTACGGTTCAACCTCGGGATGGTTAGGGGTGGCGAGGGTGGCATCCTCGCCGTGTGAAATTCCCATTTTATACCCGCTGGATATTACCCAGCGGCACGACCCATACACGTTTCGTATTTTCCTGATTTTTCCATTTTTATTTCATTTATTTTTCCTCGCAATGAAAAGCATTCGCACCGGGGGACGGAGCCGCCACCGCGTATCCCACAAAATATTACTGCAGCGTCGAGAAAAGCGAAACTTTAGGGCGCACTTTGTTCTGCTCATTGTCAAGCTTTCTAGGCTGTAGATATTTCAGATCCATACCGTTACTTCTCCGAAGCCTGAAGTTATGGAATTGGTAATAGATATTGCTAGTAAAATATTTAGCCTCACGGCAGTAGCAAATTCTGTATAGGATTCGTTAGTGGGAGAGAGACAGACTTATTGGCGTCTACACGTTAATAAGGGAGACAGAAATAGTCAAACTCAATACTTCCCTCGTTAACACACACAATCATTTATTCAATCGATACTATGAAGAAATATAATTATGTCAATACTGTCTTAATATAAATCATCCCCTAAAAGTAAGTACTGAACTCTAGTTACATATTAAAAGGAACATGACCCCTTTTCTTAACAACCCACCGTCCTCCCAGTCGTTTAATTAAATGAAGCTACATAACGAATCGGGAAGTCGTCCAAATCGCAGAAATATCTCGAAACGTCATGAGTAGTACGTTTCTTTCATTTATTCTTGTCACGGATTGTCTACGTGAATGAGTGAGTGACTCCAGGCTGAGCTTCCGGGCATGCTCTTTTACTTGACAACCTATCTCTGGTCTCCGTACAAAAACGACATTACCCTTTTTTTTTGTACTTGGTGAAATTTCACTTCATGTATAAATCAGCAAAGACGTCTACTAACAGTTGGCACAGATAAAATCTACACTTATTCGTCCAATCAGCTGTAACTCATGTCTGAAGTCCGACTTCTGTTTTGACAAACAAATGTGGAAGACTGAATACAAAAAAGTATGATGTCGCACGACCGTAGAACAATGTACGTATAGAGCAACACGTATTTTCCTCAAATCGTTAAAGAGTACCGACGGCTTCTATTTTCTTGATACATTTTCTCTCCTTTCGTGCTTGACACTAGCAAGAAAACCAAAAAAAAGAAATACTGCAGGTAAAATATAATCATGTCAATTTGAAACAGTAATTTGTCTCCGTAAGTCTCTTGACTCGCAAAGTGTACACGCCAAGTGTGCATGGAAAAAAGGCACCCCTTGTTAAAGTTTCAACAATAATGATTCCACCCTTAACTAAGCACATTGACAATATAAAATATGATTATTTCCCAATAAGAAATCTATGCCTCGCGCTCATGATCCGTATAATTTATCACGAATCGCTTATCGCGAGTTCCTCCTAAAAGTCACCCCTTCTTTTCCTTCCAGATACCAAGCGTTAGGCTTTGTCGCCCTTACTACCGGTAAGAAGCACCCCCGAGAGAGAGTATGGAAACTCGGAGGACGAAAAAAGAAAAGAAAGAAGAGAAATAAAGGTGGTCCATTAAGGGCAGATGGGAGTCGCTCGATAGATAACGCGCGACGATAAAGCCGCGGCAACCCTTATCGGGCTCATTAATCGAACGTTTATACACACAGGCATACACGTACGCCGGGTACATAGAAGTTATATCCCTGGCATCCACGGAGTACGATCAATTTTCGATTATTGGAAAAGCAACCGTGGAATTTCGAATTCGAGGATCTCTAACCTGGAACATGTATACATAGCACGTCTGTACTGTCTTTATACCTCTCGACCCTCCTAGGTACAGTGATATCTATATATATATATATATGTCTAATAGATGCTGCTATTAATTTCATCAGTAGTACCGATGCTAACCACGAGTGGCGCTAGTGTACTAAACAGATATCGGTTGCTTACCAGTAGCTAACTCCGTACCAGAAACCGTTGCAAAGGGATGTAGAATACGGTACGTCGGTGAAAAGGGTTAGAGAGACGAGATAGAAGCGTACGTGACACTCGGAAGATTCCTACGGATTTTCCCATCCGGTTGGTGCAATGCGTCTCGAATGTGTACGTACCTAACCTCTCCATAGGGATGATCGGCTAAAGAGATCCAGAGAGAGCATTGGATGTTCTTTTTTTATCAAGCTTCCACATAGCCACAGTTTCGAACGAATCAACCAAAACTCGATAAACCCAAGGGGGGGGTGGGTGGCGGTTAAAAATGGTAAGAGACGGGAAAAAGTATTGGTTATGAAAAATACAGTGAAAGTCATCTTCGATTTTTTTTTATCCTAACTTATGACAGTCTGCCTACGACTACAGTACAATTTCGCTCTGGTAAAGTCTAAAATTCGCAAAGAGCTTCGTACACGTTCGAACTGTTGTCTTTGTAAGGTTTGGTTTTCTTTTTTGTACCTCGCCGCCTTGACAATATTTTAAGTTTCCTCTGACTAAGAAAATTTCATATCCCTCCAAAGAATGTTTTTTTTTTCGCGGTGTACATCCACGAGTGTACGTATGCACGTGTACGGTCAGATCCCACACAATAAAATTCGTGTGGGTTGGAGAAGTATCGCTTACGCGAAAAAATTATTACGTTATCCATAAAAGTGGCGCTTATGTTTGCACGTGTGAAGTAACTCTATGGCCTCCCGCCAGAGGCGCTCAACTCACCGTTATCTCAGACCATATTCCTACTCATTCTCTAAATAAGAGAATTTTGTATTTAAATTTAATTTAGTATATTACAACAACGACTGTCTTACAGTGGGTTACCGAGGCGGCAGCAATTTCGTAAATTCCTGAAATTCTAACAAGAACCCACCCATCCCTATATGTATATATATATATATCTACCACGATTGATGGACCGGCTCTTAGAGCCACGGAATTCCCGGAAAATAATGAAACTGTAACAAAACATTGGCTCACAGCCGGAAACACTGAATGACTTCAGGTAATTCATAGATAAAAGTTCAAGCCAAGCCCATGGGTTGGACTCGCGTGATTCGCGCTAAAAATTATGACCGCCGCGTGTGACACCTAATGGCGTATCAAGGTCGTTAAATTCTTTCCAAATTTTCGTCTGACACGAGTATAGTTACGTGCTCGAAGCCTATTGAGAGACATGAAAAAAAAAAGTGTCACACGGAAACCGTAAGAGTGTGCTATGTGTGCGCGTTCAAGTAAACCCGTGTTAGACCGGGAGCAAGCAGGCTGCAAGGCCAGACCACGAAACGGGCTCCCATTGGCTGTTTCACATCGTACGATGATCCTGTCGCGCGATATAAATACGCTCGACCAACGATATGACTTCCCTTTACCCCTTTCACATTTGAGCATCCATCCCTCCTTTACTACACTTATCATTATACCATGCGCTATCCTTTTCGCTCTGGCTTACGCACGTGCGTTCATAAGGTTGAGCGAACACGCACGTAATGTATCTACATTGGAACACACACGTATGTATAGTAAAATAGAGAGGACATATTATATATGACTATGGGCAGATGAGCATATGTATATGTTATAACATTACATTATGTATGGGACAGCCCAATGACGACGGGACGGTGTATTAGGTTAATGAAATCTGCTAATGGCCGTTTGTCCGTTCATATGTGATTAGTCAGTTGGATATTCACCCATCAGTGAACACGTGTTGCTCGGAATGACGTATACCGCATGCTTACGAATCTATCATAAGTTAACGACGTGTTATTATAATACAGCGTATTCTGTTATCTTAATATTTTTTCTTACATCTTCCTTGGCCTTCTCAATATCTGTCAAGCTTTATCAATTAATGACAATGGAGGATCTTTTTAGAGACTCTTGGGAATTTATGTATATTTATATAAAGTATATACTTCTATATACGTTCATAGGATTCATTTTGTCCCAAAGTAAACGAGTCTTTGGTCTCAAGGGCATAGCGCATTTTAAGTGTAATATATGTGCGTCAAGATATCATAGTTACGTGATCTTTAAGGACATCGGTACTCGTAGTTATACGTCTTCTACAGTTCGTTCACGCGATCAGTCTTCTAGGGGGGGTCACCTGCTTACGTGTTAACACGTAAGAGAGTCCCCTGAACATAGATTGCGCGGCTGAATTTAACGTCGAAAGAATTTCCAAAAACCTGTGTCACCAGACACCTACTCACCAATCAGATGGTACGCACAATACACGAACTCTGGTGAAATGTTCAAATAACGCAAAAGAACGTTCACTTTAAGGGCAGAATATTGATGGAAAAGGGAACGTAAGGTTCTCGATCCTATCTAACTGACCTTAGCATGTGACGCGGCGAACAAGGCAACCTCCTTAAAGCATAACTTTCTCGGTATTATATCGACTTATTTACGAACCCTACATTTATTTCTAGACAAAAGAAATTATTTTTTCAATAGAAATTTAAAAAAAAAAATTAATGTCTGGGACTGCGGTATTTAACGTTAAAGTCTTTGATCCTACCGGCTTTCAAAATTGTCATTATGAATAATGCTGGATATAAAGAGTAATTGGCTAAATTTACAATAGGTCCGATAGAGCACAGAGACCAGAGTGCATAGAATTAGACGCGTATCGATACATTTCCTTGTAATAACGTAACACGTACTATATTCACGCATTACGCATGTATCAGCGACGGGTATAGGTGCATGCTTCAACACATACGAGTGTGCCTGTGTCAGTAAAGTCGCACGCCCATCTGGTCAACCAATGGGAGCCCACTACGTCATCTCGTACGATGTAACGGAGAGACTCTGCCCACGTGGGTTTACCAGCCTCGTCCTCTCCCGCTAGCACTATAGGTATAACCAGCCGCCACGCTATTTTTGTACGTTGGTTCTTACACAGGGATACGTGCCTCGTGGAGCATTATAGAATATCCTACAGCTACCCTAGCCACCGTCAAGGGCTTTTCTTAATGACCCCTCGTTCTTTTCTATTAAAGTCTGAAAATCACCCTTGGTTATTTTTACTTCGAACTGGATAGAGTTTATACGAGCATTCTATAAAAGTTTAGTTCCACATACATAGGTCGATTTACGTCTGATGGTCAGGCGCCTTTAGTGTCGTACTATATTTGACGATTAGCTATAAGACACTTTGGCTTCGTTTAGAGATTTTTCTATGAGCTGTATAGCGCAATTTTAGCTTTTTCGCTACGTCTGTACCTCTGGCACTGTTGTTGATCTTTAAGCCGTGGATAGGTCAGTCTCTCAACGGTAATCTTGGCATGAAAATAAGTTCTATCCGCTAGTTATATTTTGCGAAAAATAATAAAAGACGAGGAGATGTTGCGCTTCTTAGTTGTATGTAAACAAACGATTCGAGATCAATCTAACTGATGTGTGTATATACTTCTTGGTTGTCTAAGTTTATCTATGTTTGTACCGAGATAACGTCCAATTAATTTTAACGGATTTACTGCTTAAAATTGTTGTCATGTGACTGATATGTAAGAATTTTTGCACTCATTACACCATGTACAATCGATAATCGATCCTCATAAAATTCGAAGCTGTATAGAATCTTTTACGAAGAGAAAAAAAGTAACGTAAACGTATGTAATATACTCACAGGAGTAAAATGCTGTCATGAGCAGAGCGATCCAAGACAGTTGTCGTTCCATCACGTTTTTCGTAAAAGTCACGCGTTCACTGTGTATCTTCAAATTCGTCTCTCTTCCTTATTCTTTGAGTTCTCTTGTACTCAAAAAATTGGCTACAAAATATTCCTTCCTATCGCATAGACTGTCTCTCGTCCCGTATAGTCGCTCGGATAACTTCAGTTAAAGTTTCTATCACGCGACTATTTCAGAAAAAGTAAATAAACGTATTTCTCTCTACGTTACGGGCAGTGACAAAGTTCTGCCGTTTTTATTTTTCTATTATTAATTTTTCTTATAAAGCCGGGTAACGTTCAAGCGCACACGAGATTCCTCTTATCGTTGACGTAGAACGACCGTTTCGTGTGACTCGCCGTATGCGACTGACTTTCTTAAGTGAGCGCTTTTTGGCGGCATATCCTACGTTCGAAGCAGCTTCGTATCGTGCGCATGCGTCAACCGCTCACGCCACCTTTTCCCACTCCGCATTCTCTGCTGATATTCATTCCCCTTCTTACTCTGGCTCTATGCTTCGTCTCCTCTCTCTTACTCTCTCACGTTGTCAGCCGACTATCTGCGCCTGTCACGGTCTCACTGTGATATCAGGAACTGGTCTCACACCACGAGTCTACGGATTGAGAACTTCAGGACACCTGTGTAAGAGTCATGACGACAAATCATTTTCTGTTATTCCAACAGGTACTGAATACTATGAATTCGATTTTCTAGAGTACCGCTTCGTTTTTAAGTCATCATCAAAAATTGTAACGCTCGCCTGCCGTCAACTGTCTTCAGTCATTTACATCGTACGCAGATACCAATGCTACTTTGATAACGAAAGGTAAACTTTTTTTAACACATTGTTATTAATTTGTCATAGAATTTTCATCGGATGGGGGGGGGGTTCGGGCAGGATAACGTCAGCCGAAGACGTACCTATTGGAAACAAGAAACAAGCCACCGAGAAACAACAGCGAGGGAAGAAAACTCAGAGTTCGTAGGTGCCTACGTTTCTCGTGATGCCTCGCTCTGATTGGTCAACTTTGACCTGCTCCCATTTAAAACCTATGACCTTCCGGACAAAAAGAAGGTCATTTTCGTGATCAGTGGTGCCTCTCGAACACTGCCATACCCCGTTGGTCAGGTAATTTTGGGACACCCTGTATATCATTCAAATTTTTTTATCTACAGTGAAAGGTGTTTTGATTTACGATTATACAACCCTTTTTCAACCCCCCATTATTCACCGCAGTTGGTGACTGTGAAAGGATGCAAAAGAAATCGTTAAGAGGATCACAGGACCTTGAAGAAGATTACACGTGTTACGTGAAAGACTAACGAGTCGCAATCATTTTACAAATTAAAGCTCTCAAACCCGTAGCCTTTGTACATTTGCTTTCTCACTTAGGTCTTTGTCATCGCCTAGTAAGATAATACCAAGGAAGCATAACTCATCTCTCTCCCTTTCTTAATCTGATGCTAATATATTTCATAGAAAGACCGACTCTGCTTTCTTTGATTAAAGTTTCTCTAGAATCTTCAGCCTTTATTGCTGCAGTGCTAGTACTAGCTTCTTAAAACGTCCGTAAACTGGCAAATCGAAGGAAATTCTATCCGATCGAATGGGCAGGGGTTTGTGTGCCCCAAGACCATTTCAGGAGTCTCGTATCATCCCAAACTGGTATGATATGCGACACACGCACATGTCTCGTATCAGTTAAACGAAAAAAGCTTGTAAATTATTGTGAAAGCAGTGACGATGGGGGATGATAGGATAGCCTAAGGGTAGGACGATAAATCTATTTTGTAGCGATAATATCACTGAATAAGTTGATATACTACTAGTACTGTAAACAATTATTGTAGCATAACTGATAAAAAAATAGTTTAAACAACGATACCACGCAAATAATTTTTCATCAAAAATCACAACAAAAAATACGGTCGAACATTGATTTGCCATATCAATAATCTTTGTTCTATTGTAGATTGACTCAGTCACCACCATCAATTACCCTATAAATTTATGTTATTAGCAGCAGTTATTCCTCGAATGTTCCACGATAATTTTAATCGCCAATTTATCATGAAAAATTAACAACGAATTTGTTTCACGTAGTGAAAATCAACCTCGTGAAAGAAAAGAGATAAGCAATGCCCGAAATTTGGGGGATGAAATTGGTGTAAGGGTGGCATTGGCATATCGACACGTATCGAAACTAATAAAGAATTAAATGAAACAAATAACCATAAACGAGAAAAAGCTCGAATAGGAAAGCTTTTGCGGGGCCAAGTTTGAAGCCCCAACACCACCGCCTCCAGCAGGACTACCAACGTCTCCACCACAAGCAAGAACATGGCCGACGTTGGAAAACGAAACTCGTAAAATTTTACGGGCACACCAGACGACCGAGCTTACAGTTCGCCACACGGATATACGCCGAGAGGAATTTGCGAAAAGCTTCCTCTCCCAGGATACTCTCGTACGTACGTGCGTAACTACGTATACATATATGTACGTAATCCCCTCTGCATCCTTATTTCTTCACTTCACATTCGGAACATCCCGTACGTGATAGGTGAATCAAATCAGTCCCATAAGAAATTTGCCCTAGTCATAAATTTATGCCATCCATACATATATGGTACAGGAAGATCAGCCGATGTTGACAATGTCTCATAATAATGCCAACACCGAAAATCACCTGACATATGGGTACGTGCTTACGTATACATACATATATATATATATATATATACTTCAAAGCGTGACCCACGTCAAGCAGCAGTACGTGATAAGAGCCGCAATAATCTGAAATTTGTACAGGTGTAACGAGAGAGACTGAGTAGGAATGTAGGAAGCGAGAGAGAGATAGAATGAACCAGATGCTTAGCATCGCTTTACTTAAGACAGTACATTGAAATTAGGGCGTTACGTCATGATCATACGATCCTGGAACACAGCAATGACACCAGCCTAACGTCTATGACAAATAGACACGTCCCATCTGTGAGAATGCTCCTAGCCCCTCTATCGCAGTCACGCCACCTATTGCTTTCTTCGTCCGTTCTGATCCAGTCTGTACCGCAATTGCTGTCGTCACGTCCTTAGCAATTTCACGGCATGATTTCGTACCTGGAATATCTGATTTGAGACCTACAGTGGAACCTCGATTAACCGGGATGTGCCGAAAGGGGGGTGCTACTGATAAACGAATAGCACGAGTAATCCAACACACGTAGATATATTTATCGAGGAAAAATTAATAATACGATACATACATATATAGGCCTGCCTTTACTGTTCATATTTTATCGTATATTTCATTAAATCCTATTATTTAACGCCTATGATTATAGTTACCTAGAATGACATTGACCACTCCACAATGAGTTTAATTAAGCTTGGGGTAAGCATACTGGCTCACATCGCGGCCAGCATGGATAATCCGCCGCAGGGATAACTTGCATTCGATTAATTGAGATTCTATTGTATTATCTCGTGCGATAACTTTTGATAAGGAAATCTCGCCTTTATGATACTAATCAGTAGCTGCATAATACGTATATAAATGCTTATGAACGGATATTTTATACATATATATATATCTACTTAATCACCAATACTACACAGATATACGCGTGCGTGCGTCATGTAAATTCACGTTAATCAAATAAACCATAATCATATAGCCAAAGAATTTCGAATAAAAACAGTACGTAAGTCAGAAAATTTTTTTTTTAATCAATCAATACGATTTTCAGTATGCTCTTGGCCTCTACCTTGCCAACCTTAAGAGCAAGACGGGGGCGTGGAATGTGCCATGCCCAGACATAGTCCATTAAAATTTTCTTAGCACATCAAATAAAGAAAAGAAACGTGTCAATGTCGCTTGAACTCACACAAACGCTTGGCTGTGAGTGTCCCGAGAAAGTTAGTCGCTGAAATAACGACGTGATGTCTGATTTTGATTATTTTGTTATTTTGGATTTCATCAAATCTTATTTCACCCTGTGTTCCTTGATGGCTTAAATTTTCTTTGTCCCTGCATGTATGTAACTCGATTAACGTATCAGATGAGTATCTGTATAATTCTCGATCTACACATATAGTGTATATATGTATATATACATATATATGTTAAAAAGCAGTTTCCAGGACATTTGGCATTGTCCAGGGTGGTCCTGGAAAATCCTATATGTAACGTGTACTTCCAGGGCCGTTTGACGGCACTCACGGCGAATTTTCCAAAAAACTGTTGATTTTGCACACTCGGAGTTGTGATGGACTAAGAACTAGTTCATTAAGTTAGATTAGATGAGAATTTCAATGCCACATGTTTTTTTTAGTTAGTTTTTTTTTAGAAAAAAAAAATACATTAACTTGCCCTTGTGAGTGCTGCATGTCTTCAAAACTGCCCTTCGACATATTTCTCTATATACATATAGTATACATATATACTTGACCCTCGACTCATCAGAAGATCTCGCAGAATTTACGTCAGTATAACAGTCTCACGCCTGAAGGCATAGCGCTTCGACTTACGTGGTGCGTCTAAAATATATTTTTCACTCGCGACTAATTCTTGTTGCTTACATTCTTCTCCCACTCTCTCTCTCTCTCTCTCTCTCTCTCTCTCTCTCTCTCTCTCTCTCTCTCTCTCTCT